GGCCCTTTTTTCTGTGTGCTCTAAAACACACGCGTTCGAGGTCAATCAAGCATACAACAAAATGAAACTTTTAAACATGATAACTTTGAGTTTGTCAATACTCTATCCAAAGTCCATCCGGATTCTGAAGTCGTATTAGAGCCATAAATGAAGCGGGACAGCAACTGTGTGTAAGGCTTTCCACAATAGAGACTCGCAAATTTTTTTTTTTTTCCCTAAGGAGGTAGCGCAAGAAGCAAGAATATTATTCAGTGAAATGAGGTACAGTATGTGATGCAACATGAGGAACCGGAATGTTCTTTCGCCAAAAAAGTTATGGCAATCGTCGACATGTCTGGCTGGCAACGTGATCGAGCCGGCAAAATTTCTCATGGCCATTCTTACATGTCGAACCAGACACCGGCGCTGTCGTTATCCAAATATCCAGTGGCGGGTTGCTGTGTCACAGTGTGAAATTTTGATCGTACTATCCCGTCTTTTCTGGGTTCTCTATAAAACAACATGCTGTTTTTCCATTCATCATGAGCAAATGTCATGAATTAATGTGATTGCGCGATGCTGTGTCTCTGTGTGAAAGTCTTACAGTACAGCCAAATAAATGCCTGATTCCTCTGCTACGTGCTCTGCTTGACATATTGCTGAAAAGGTGGATCCGTGTAACTGATACGTCGATGTTGATCACCAGGGGTGCTACTCCCAAAAGTGGGTGGCTCAGGATAACAATTGTAGCGGCACCGCTATGAATAATTCATGGCTATTTGTTTGTAATGGACATTCAATTATTAATGGCCGGGAACAGCCATTTCACAGACGTCAAATGGCGGCGTTGCGGCGGCGATGCCTGTCCGGCAGCTTGTCATCTTTGCTAGGCTAAGAGAGAGGCTAACGCCATGTAGCTGCATCCTGTTTCGCCACCTTGTTTGTCTCATGGAGCATTCGGAGAGGGGGATCTGAGAAGTGGCGAGGGCGGGGGTTACAACAGAAAGTGCTTGTTTGTTCTGTGTTCCACTTGCTAAGCAGATTTAATGAATCCGCCGCTTAATCTAGAGCCTTTTGTTTTCTTTGCTCCACACTTGCTACGTCGCCATTTCGGGGCGGACAACTGTTTCCCAACGTGACAAACTGTACCATATGTCAGGCGTAAGTCTCAGTGAAGAGGCGGGTTTGATAGTTGCCTGCTTCCAACTATAGCCTGGAGTGTAAAAAAAAAAAAAAAATACACCTGGCCAAACAGTGTACTCCAAAGTGGAAACATGCCAACATACAAGAAGGATTGTAATGACCTGTGCAGCTTTGGCCAGACAAAACAAGGCAAATCGGGTAAAATTATTACCGTAGAAAAGGGATGAAGTAGATAGTGGAAAGATTTGTCATTCTACATTCGCGAAGTGTTTTCATTAGTCACTGAGTGCCATTCGGAGACAATCTTAAAATAAAATAAATGTTCACAGGGGGCATTGATTGTGAAATGATACGATTTTCTGGAACCTATGTTAAATGTGAGTCATTCCTGGTGTGGTTTTCTGACATTTTTTGCGATAAAACATAGCCGTGACACGTGGTTGTCATTGGACTGTGATGGTTAAAAAAAAAAAAAAAAACATGATTACATTATGCTCCTAAAACTGTACTGCAGAGAGATAATTAGGGAAAGTCAAAAGCATGTAATTCTACAAATCTGTAGGATCCGCATCAACGTTACTGACACAAAATGTTGGGTGTAAAGTTGACCCAACAATTTTCTGCTTTCGGGGATAGAAGCAGTTTTTACATTCCATACATTCCCAAGAAAACGGCATATCAAATGCGGAACAGAAGAGCCATGATTTATTTGCCTGTCTCGTTCAGACAAAAACTGACCTGCCACTTCACACAGGCGCTGTTGCCTTGCCTCATTATGAGAAAGTATATATGCAGAGCGACGTCAGAAGAATGCTAAACGTGTAGAGTTAATCCTTTTATGCTTTCTGAATGAAAGCCTTGCATGGCTTGTATGAAGAGAAAGTCCTTTTGGAATAAATGCCACCCAAAAAATGTTTTAAAAGCCAAAGAAAAAGCTAATCATGCAAACTTAATCCTTTAACACTCAAACAGTGGTCACAAGTCACATCTTGAATGATCACTGTCTTTCTTTCTGAAATAAATGCTGCAACATGTGGAGTTAATCCTTTGATGCACACTGTCCAGATTTCTCATTGTCTCTCTTTTTACAAGCATTTACATTTTTCCGAAATAATGTGCCTGTCCGTTTCAGGCGAATCAACAAAAAATTGACATTGCACGCTCATACAGCTCGTGCCATTATCATAAGCAAATGTATGGCTACTAGGGAAGAAGGTGCTCGTTCTTTGGAACGAAACAAAAAGCAAATGGACAGAGTGAATACTTGAATGGTCACGTGACATAATGTATTAGAATGGTCATTTTTGGGTCCATATTGTAAATGTTTCCCGAAAAAACAAAAAGCCAAATGTGCGATAGAGACGGCTTGTTATCTTCAACATTTGGCTGAAGACTACTTTCGTTCATAAAAACTTTCTTTTTCCAAAACCCTTGTGTGTAGTACGTGGCTACTATCAGACACACTTTGACTTTGCTCACTGATTGTCGGAGCTCAAAGGTTAGACTACTTTAAGAATCCAGAGGCTTTTTTATTGTCATTCCAGCCCTTGAGCGAAACAGTAAATGGGTAAAATAGTGCCGGCCAAACGTGGTGCAATATGAGCAAATGGCGAAAATTGACAGGAACACAGACACGAGAAAACTTTGATGTGTGTCAGCTTTAATACAAGTATTAAGGGCTCATTTTAAAGCTTTATTTATCATCAACACCACTAGAAATTAGAAATTGTTTTCAGGTGTTTGCATGACTGTGGTGGCAGCCCCTGCGTTATGTTAACATGTTATGGTAATGCTACTTTTTTTTTGCGTACACAACAAATCCTGACCGAATTGCACCCTGAGAGTAAACTCCTAAGAGACTAATCGGCACCCCCAAATGGAAGAAATTGTATCAATGCCACAACACTGTCAACTTGCATTGAGTCCACCATTTGTTGCAAGCCCTTCCCCCAACACTTGACATACTGACAATCAGTTGAACTTCGCAAAAGCCATTTGATCCAACATTTGGCGAGCTGTGGTCACAAATGGCGAGCGAGGTGCCATCTTTAGTCATGGCTGAGAAGCAACATGAAAATAAAATGGGGACAATTCCCTGCCGCTGTCTAGAAATATCAATCTCTTTGTACCCATGTAGTGGTTCAATACTCCCAAACAAATTTTTGCCTTGAGATAAAATGACCCAGCTTATGATACGAACAGTCATTCGGCCGACTTTGTGCTTTGACTTGCGAGCTCTGTATGGTGGTGGTGGACTAGGTTCAACTCACTTCAAAAGCAGCAGCAGGTTGACAAATATTGAACAATTCAGCAAAAAGACTTCAAACTATTTGAATGCCATTCCCAGTTGAAAGTGACTGTCCAACTAAAACAAAGAGAATTCCACAATTTGCATTTAAAACCAGACTTAGGAAAGTCTGCTTAGCTGAAAGCCAACAAACAATACAAAACTTCATTGACATGTTAGCTGTTAGAATCAATAGCCGCGTCTTTAGTAGCGACTGACACATGAACACACATGGTGGAGCAACACCACTTTTCTGGAGACTTCACCCTCCATGTCAAAGAGAGCAAGCCATTTTCTGCTCGCTAGATTGGCCACATTTGCAACTTTAGTCAGCGTGTAAATATAATGTGTGGACTGACAAAAAGAATTATGAAAAAAATATGAGATTTACCAAATTTCGACATCGGGGCTTTTGGCCTGACACCGGCAATATAATCTTAATCCTCTCCAAAGAATAATTGATAATACTACTAATCTTTTTTGTTTGTCTGGATGACTGTATTAAACTGCTTCCTTGCAATACCCATTTTCCAGTTGTTTGATTGGAAATGAGCCTGTCCACAATCTCCAGCAAGGGAGGGTTGTGGATGCACGGCTTCCAAACTGTAATCCATACTCTTATCTATCCAAGGCAATCAATAATTCCTCATGTGTTGGAGCTACCACACACACACACACACCAATATTAAATATCTCCAACAAAAGGTCGTCCCAGCTTCCAGGGCTTAGGACAACACCATACCATGACATTTGTTTACAGTATCATGCTGCTTGGTTCATATATTTTGCACAGTACATGGCTAAGGCAATGTGGCATTAGCCTACCAACAAAACAGACACACATGTGACTGTCCTGGCTACTCAGCACAACGTGGCTCAAGCAATCAAGCAGTAGCAAAGTGGTACAGGCTTCACTGTCCTGACAGCTTCGTACAGTATGGCTCAAGTGATATGGAGGTAGCCCAGCAATGAAGGAGTAAAGCAATTAATTGAACAACTTTGCAGTACGTTTGAAAGACACAGCCCCATCAAAAATGTTTACTCCACATTGGCTGTTCCAGCTTCAGTATAAAACAACATCCAATATTGACAACGCAAGAACAGAATGCACAGTGCACAGCTGTGCTTAAGCGTGGACGCCGCGAGACTTGCATTCAAGGCACATGCAGCAATCACTGCATTTCACTACATTGCTTCTTTGTACTCTTGAACGTCAATCGGGGAAAAAGCAAGTCGGGCACTTCTTACTCTAGGGCGCATTCTAGTTTAATTTTATTAAACACACTGATTTCTACACATAAACAACAGGTCAATGAACTCTTTTTAGGGTGATCCAGGTAAAAGTCGCCAGGTAAACAACAACTTGCTTCCTTCAAGTACCAGTATTTGTCCGTAACTTTAAATTCAAACGAAACTCGGGCAAATCAAAGACAAGGAAATCAACGCCATGACGTGTTGTTTAAGCACGCCAGATAACCGTTGACACTCTGCAACATCCGCTGACCGTTTGACGCGCCTCGCCGTGTCGCAACGTAAAAACAACAACAACAACAACAATGAGATTATTTTTCTTTCTTGAAGGTGCACTTACGTAACGTCGCAACTTTTTTTCCGGCGGTGACTTTCGCAGCCACCCTGAACACACCACGTCTCCCCCGCTCATTGCTGCTGCTGGCTGGCTTTTCTCCCCGTCTGGGAGTTCGGCAAGAGAATTGAGCTCTACGGAGCCCTCTGGGAGTGTCCTTTTGTGCCTGGGAAGAAGGGAAAAAAAACAATCAAACGAGCACTCAATAGAAGATAATAAAGTTCGTTTGTATGGGGCGCGTTTCAAGTGAAAAGCGCAATTTTGTGTTTTTGTTGTGTGTTCTTGTAATGGGGCAGTTTACCAGTGGGTCCTTCGAAAGTCGCCTGTTGGGAGTCGAAATGTCGAATAAACGCTGAAGCAGCCTCCTCGGTGACGCTTCCCACCCCCTTCAAACACACCTCCCAAAATAAAATGACAAGAATAAAAAAACCGTGCTAAGTTCCGTTTAGTAGTTGAAGCCCGAAAAAGTGCTGCGATTCCCGGTTGGCGGGACGCAACGCGAAGGTCCCACCGAGCCGCGCCGGTTCATAGTTTTCGGGGGTGGTGGTGGGACTGTAGTGACGGTGAAGGAGGAATGGGGCCGCCGCAACCACGAGGTACAACAAGAAGCCCCGATTCGAGTGTCTCCACTAGCCGAGCTTTTCCTACCAGTTTACCCCTACCGTGGTTCCTTTATGGGATTGACAGGGTGGCTCCGTCTTTTCCCTGAACTCGCCCGCCTCCTTCTCTGGAACATGGCGGCGTCAAGCTTCCGCCGACACATGCGAGCACAAGTTGGGAGAAGTGGTCAATTACTTTTTTCAAAGGTTAATTATTTCAAGTTTTATTCATAATATACTGTCGCTGATTTTTATTGAGAGTAATCTACGTATATATATTTTTTTATTATCGATAACCGACGGCTGTCAGTGTGAAAGTCCTATACGTAAGATCGCCTGTTCATGGGCGAACTGGAATTTTATTGTGAACGTCACAACCGGATGTTTTTGTCTCTCACACAAGAGATTTTGTTACCCATGTTGTGGAAGGCACAGTAGAAATTAGTACTGTAGTACTTAAACCTACTTTCGTCTTTCCTTCATTTGTGACCTATTTCCTACCTGCTTCTCCTTATACTTGTTTCCCCCCTGGCATTTCCTACCCATTTCTTTCTGACAGCCTCCTGCCTCCTTCCTTCAGTCCTGTTTTTCATTACTACATCTTTTCACTCATCGTTCCTTCACTTGAACCTACCTTTCCTGTCATCACATTAATTCCCACCTTCCGTTATACCTGTTTTTATTCATGCATCCTTCCTACTGTTCCCCACGATCCTTCTTTTATGTCCTCTTTTCTGCCTTCCCTTTCCCAGACTAATTTTCCTAGCGTTACTTGTAATTATTTTTTATTCCCTGACCTCCTTCATTCCTCTCTGCCCTCAGACCTGTTATGCATCATGTATCCTGACATATATCATCCACTTAAACTTACAGTTTTGTCTTTCATCTTTCATTCCCTCCTTCGGGTACACCTGTTTCATTTATCTGTCCTTTCTTCCATTGCTTAAACTGCTGTTGTTGTTGAAGTGCTCTATGAATACATTTGTGTGGAGTTGAACCAACTTTTCCGCCTTCCTTATCCCAGACCTGTTTTTCTTAATTTCTTCCTTCCTTGTCTCATCACTGACTCCCTTCTTCTCTTAACTTCCTTACTCCTTCCTTACTCCCTCCCACAAACCCATTTTTCCATCCTTTCTTCAACCGCATAAAACTACTTTTATATCGCTCTTCATTCTTTTTCCTTGTTACACCTATTTTCATTAATGCATCTGTCCTTCTGTTCAGCTAACCTCTTTTTCTGCCTTCTTTCCTCCCATTGCTTGGATCCACTTTTTATTGTACATCATTCCTTCTTTTGCTTAAACCCACTTTTCTCCCTTCCATCCTTTGTTCCTACATTAACATCCTTTTCTGAGCTCTTCCCTGCCTTCTTTCCCCCAAACCTGCCTTTTTTCCCTGGCACCTTTTCTTCCCTCATAGTTGTTTTTTTGATTGTTGCAGCCTTTGTGTCCGACTAGTTTTTGCCTTCCTTATCCTACCTTTCCAACCTGCCTTCCTTCCTCCAGACCCATTTTCCCTTTGTGACCTTCCTTCCTTCCTTCACCTAAAACTTAACTTTACTGCCAACCAGCCTTCCATGCTTCACCTATTTTTCTGCCTTCTTCATTCCCAACTTCCCACCTTTTTCTTGAGCTTTATTCTTCCTTCCTTCCCCAAACCATTTTTCCTGGCATCATTTCCCTCCTGACTTTCTTTCACCCTTGTTACCTTCTGACTCATGTTTTAGTCATGCGTTTTTACATCCTTTGCTTAAATGTGTATTTCTGCCTTCTTGACCTCCTTCCTTTCACCTCAGACCTACTTTTTATTTTGCACCCTTTCTTCCATTGCTTAGAACAACTTTTTTGCCTTCATTCTTCCCTGACATCAGAACCTTTCCAATACTGATTGTTTTTGACTAAAATCATTTCCCATTATTCACATTGCAAAATTGCAAAGTTAATATTAAGCTACAGAGGAGTGTGTTGTGTCTCTAGACTTGGAGGTATCTGAGGAATCTTATTGGAATGCCATTGTGATGCTAAACACCTCCCCCCAAGGATGTATCCTGCTAGCCACCATGATTAATGACCTTTTCAGCAACAACGGCCGGCGGAGTAAAAACGAGACCCTACTAATTACCACGGACGCAAAACAACAAGTCCAATTGTGACAATAACCGGTTGCATCTGCAGCTGACTGTTCAGTAAAATATGACTAAGGCGACATATCGTGAAGCAACGAAAGTGGTACAAGCCTTTCCAGGCTACTTCGTATAATACAGCTAAAGCAACATAACGGTAGCGTAGCGGCCAAAAGCTCTCCTGGCTAGTCAGCCCGATATGGCTAAGGTGACATAGTCGTAGGATAACGAGAGAAATGTTACATGCTGGCCTGGCTACGAAGTCCATTAGAGGTAAAGCAATGTAGCAGTAGCTTAATGGCAAAACCACCTTGGCTGCTTAGCAAAGTGATACACTATTCCAGCTGCGCAGTACAATATGGCTAAAGCAATATGGCGGCAACCCCCCCACCACCCCCCAAAAAAGGGTACACCTGTCTATTCTGCTAGCTCAGTATTGCAGAGCAGACATGGGACCTGTAAAGGAAGTTTAAATTTGTTTTTTTCCCTCCAATGACAAGGCCAGACTGCTAAATTGTAGCATTAAAACCATAAGACTCCTCTGACGTGACTCTTTAAATCCATCGTTATCCATCTTTAGAACAGTGGCTTCAATAAAGATGACATTTTATCAGTCGTTTTCCATTAATCACCTAGAGTGCCATTTTAAGACAAATTTATTTATTGCATATATTTGATATTAAAGTTATCAAATGCCCAATATCTCAATACATTCTGAAAAATAAAACATACCACAGATCAAAATGCATGCAAATGAGAAGTGGAACCTCCAAAGTGGAACATAGCTACATGGTAATAGGTTAGTATCTTCTGGAATTGAAATTGAATTGTAATGTCCATTTTGCACCGAGCAGTTAAGATGCCATTTTGCGTCAGCTCAGGTGCCACTTCTTTCTCAACGATTATTATAATCTTTGCCCCCTTTGCTATCATGGGTAGTCTTCATCAACATTTAAAGCAAAATCACAAACAAACAAAAAAGTGCACTTGTTTATAGTTAATCCAGAAAATTCAACACATTGCTACGTCACAGTAGATTCCACTTCCTGCTCTATGGTTACCATCACTTTCACTCAGGTGCCACTTCTTTCTCAACGATTATTATAATCTTTGCCCCCTTTGCTATCATGGGTAGTCTTCATCAACATTTAAAGCAAAATCACAAACAAACAAAAAAGTGCACTTGTTTATAGTTAATCCAGAAAATTCAACACATTGCTACGTCACAGTAGATTCCACTTCCTGCTCTATGGTTACCATCACTTTCACCACTCCAAAAAAAAAAAAAAAAAAAAAAAAAAAAAAAAAAAACACAAAGCAAACTTTTAGAACTCCAAATAAAGTCCTGTGTGATTTGCGTAAGTCTTGTGTGACTTCGGTGGTGATGATGGTTCCACTTTGGAGGGTCTGCTATCTGTATCATAATGCATTGTCCGGCGCTATATGCTGTTTGCACCAGACAATTAAAACAAATTATTTTCATTATAATCTTAATTGAAAGAAAAATATATCTCACCAAAACAAAATCTCAATAAATTAAAAATGGTGAGCTCATTTTCAGTCGTATGGGAGTTTTTCAGTGCTTCTTGCCAGGGGAAGGCAACCATTTCAGAGTGATATATCGATGCCTTGAGATAAGACTTTAATCCGTTCCATGGCCATACTCATCTCAAATCGTTTTTCCCAATTGAAATTGAGTGGAAATGCCAATAATCTACTGCCCCACACCCCCCACACGATAAATGTTTATTTTTAATAAGAAAAACTAAAACTCTGTAATATTCTACTAGATAAAAACAGAGTCATAATCTTTAAATAGAATGGAAAGAATTAAACAATTTGTGCATCATGACTTAATGCTGACATCCAAATCAAGTGTGCAGCTCCTTGTGGTGTGGCCACCGCGAGGCAGTCCTAATGCACTCACGCTGTCACAGAGAATAGACCAGGTCTTCTACAACAACTTGGTAAGTTTCTGTAAGATTAGTCATTTTACATTGAGGATAAAGAATATATGCCTGTGAGTATCATTATGTCATCTGTCTAAATGTGTTGCTCCACGCGATTAGTGTTCAAATATTCATAGTTTAAAGGGTTGTAAAACTGTGACTATTGATGCTAACAGCGTGGGACTATTTTATTTATTTATTTTGTTTTAATGTTAGCATTAAGCTAACCGGCCAACCGGTAACATCATTTGGTTGTTTTAACAACACATGTATTTCAGTGGGCGGCCCGGTGGTCCAGTGGTTGACGCGTCGACCTCACAGTGCAGAGGTACGTAGGTTTTCTCCGGGTACTCTGGTTTCCTCCCACATTCCAAAAACATGTGTGACAGGCTGATTGAACACACTAAATTGTCCCTAGGTGTGACTGTGAGCGTGGAGCGGCCATTCAGCGACACGGCATCACAAAGAGAAATAGTACATCTGAGACTGATAATACATATTTGATACATAATTTATATGATCTCTGTGTGAAAGAAGCTAACTTGCTAATTCGGTTAAATTTATGCACGGGAGAATCTATATAATTTACTTATATTTCTTTATGAAAGAGGCTTCAATGATAAATCACAAATTTGCAGTCATTTTGCTGGATCATTGGATGAAAGAGGCTAATTTGCGGTACACAATCTACGTCAGGGGTGTCAAGCTTATTTTTGTCGTGGGCCACATTGAAGTTGGTGTTTCCCTTGGAAGGCCGCTATGACTGAAACCATATAAAAAGTCAATAGTAACGGTTCATTCAACAATTGTTGAAGTTACTGTAATGAGGGGGTTGGTCACAAGAAAACGCTTACAATATGTCTCTAATTTATTAAATGTGAGAATTTTGGTAGAGGTTTTAGCAAGCATCATGGAAGTGTTTGATGTTTCATTTGCTTTCGCGGGCCACATAAAATGATGTGGTGGGCCAGATCTGGCCCCCGGGCCTTGAGTTTGACACAAGTGCTCTACATTAAGGAGGCGAAATTGTTTATTTGGTTGGATATGTGTCTAAGAGGCTAAATTCCTGTTTTAACTGGAACTCTATGTGAAATTGTTCATTTGCTATCATTTGGGTGGTTCTCTGTGTGACAAAGGTTAAATTCCTAAATCTCTCTTTTTTTTAAAAACAGGATTTAGAAACACATCATGGTAGAAGCGGCATCTGTAAATTGACGTTGAATTCTTTTTTCCCCCATGAATTTACCATGGCCCTCTGAGGTCAGCAAAAAGGTTCCCCCACCCCTTTTCCGTATGTAGCATTGTGTGCTTTTTATTTAGCTTTAGAAGACCAGTCTACTAATTGTGTTAAAGCCACCTCCTCCCCCTCCTCCTCCTCCTCCAGACGGCCCGCAACTCCCTGGCGGGTTGTTGTCATCCGAGCCGTTGGGCCTGAAGGAGCAGGAAGACGACGGGGCCTGAAGAGCCTGAGCCCTAGCATTCAGCTCTTGTTCCTGTGTGGAGAGAAACAAACAAAAACAAAAAATAAGTAAAAGGCGGTGACAGCGTTCTCACAGCTCCCTCTAGTGGACGTTTGATCTAGGGACGGTTCAGTGGCTCATGAAATTGCTGCCTGGATTCTTGGGGGATTTGACTCGAGGCGAAGGTGAAACAAATCGTTTTATCCGGTATTGATCTTAATGATTTGTCGAGGACGTTTGTTGTATAACGCCGACGCTTGAGCGCATGTGTCAAATGTGAACACGTGCAAAGCTCCGCAGTCCGTATTCTCCCCTTGAGCGGCTCAATCGACGTTCCGTGTAAATTTGACAAGACTCCATCATTTAACAACGCACAGAAGCAGCACAAGATGTAACATTGTGTTTGTGTTCACCTCTGTCTTGTATACAAGATAAAAGCAAAAGAAGGATATTGCTACACCTGTGTAAACTTTGAAAAAGGCAGATGGAAAAATGCCCGATCCTCCCAAATGGCTCATTTGTAAAAACATATGATCTCTCGGTGACAGAGGCTTAATGTTCTTGTTTTAATTTCTATGTGAAGTGATGTAAATGAGTTTCACCTGTAGATACAGCTTATTGTCCTTGATAATGGCATCCAGCAGTTCTTTCTGCAGCGGCGGTTCGGCACTCTGTCTCGTTCCGCTAGTCGCCGGCCCCTTAATAGCGTCCTGCCCCACCACTTCCTGTTTCCTGTACATGAGCACATAGGCAGTGTCCTTGGGGAAGCGGCTGGTGATGTTCTGCACCGACTGGAAGGAGGCAAACGTCACCCTGCTGTCATTGAACAGCAGCCAGTCGCTGGGGGGCACAGCGCCGCCCGCCTGACCACTCGGACCCTCCCGGACTTGTTCCCCTTGATTCAAGTCTTCCTTAGGACAGGTGGCGTCCCCTTGTGCTGCGTTGTCGCAGCCGTAGGAGTAGTAATGTCCACTCTCGGACGATACGCCCGAATGCATCACGACGGAGCTGAGGACGTAACGCACAGACTGTACTTCCTCATCTCGACGGGAGGGTTTGAGTTTCTTGGCCAGGTTCTCGCTGCTCTCGGATGAGTCCACCGGGGGCGGCGAGGAGGCAGGTGGCGGAGGCGGCGAGGGCATCGAAGGGCGGTGCACGGGAAGACGCAGGTGAGGCGGGATGGTGACGTTGTCCAGGATCTTGCGGCGCACGTGGCACTTGGCGTCGTATGCGAAGCGCAGTAGTGTGAGGATGAGGTACTCGGGGGCCGACATCACCTTGAGGGTCCGCTCGGCCCTCCTCAGGCTACAGCACTTGCCGCAGAAGTAGGCGTTCTCCTGGTCCAGGATCTCCGGAGCCAGGAAGTAGTCCACCAGGTCGGGCACGGAGAGAGGAGGCTCGTTGCTCTCTGGTATGGCGTGGGCGTGGCTGGCTTGGTCGTTGGTCCCCGGCATGAGAGTCTCGCTGCCACCGTTGACGGAGCCCTGGCAAACTTTGGACTCGTCAGACTTGGGGAGACAGGAGACAAAATTGCTTATGTGTGGAAAAGAGGATTGAGTGGTAATGTGTGGTAATTCAATTGGATCTTTGCATGAAAGAGGATCGTTGCTAACTGGTTGTGATTTAGCGGAGTCGCTGGCTGAAACAGGTTAAATTGGCTAAATATATGGTTGTGGGTGAAAGTGGCTAAATTGCGGGTCATCCGAATAGGTCCCTGTGAAAAAGAAGGAAAATTATCAATTTTCTGTCATTTAAATGGGTCTGTTTGACAAAGGCAAAATTGCGAGTTTGTTGTCATTAAGATGAGTCTGTGTGAAACAGCCGAAACTGGTACTTTATGGTAATTGGCAACCAATTGGTTCTTTGTGTAAAAGATGTAAATGATCTAATTTGCTGTACAGTTACTCATCTTGGGGTCGGAAAGAGGCTAATTTCTGGAACTGTACACCAATTTAGTTTTTTGAATGAAACGCGATAAATTATTACGGTAGTCTGTGTGAAAGATGCTTGGTTTCATTTTAGGTAGGTCTTTGTGTGAAAGAGACTTATCTACTAATTTTCAGTAGTGTGGCAAAGTTGCTAATTTAAGATAATTTTGCCGAATCTCTGTAAGAAATACAGCTTAGTGTTTATTGTTAATTTGCGGTACAAAGAGGATAATTTACTCATTTATAGTAATTTGGCTGGTTCTCTGCATGAAAGATGCAAGATTGAGGATTTGTCGAAAATTGTTAATGTGCTTGTAATGTGGCTCATCTCTACCTGAAACAGCCGGAATTACACATTTGAAAATAACTCGTGATGGATGTTTGGGTGAAAGGTGCTCTATTGCTAATTTGTCTGGAGCTTTGTGAAAATGTAATTTGACTGGATCTACATGTGTGAGGCAAAATGGACAATTTGTGGTCAAGAAGCGAAATTGTTAATTAACAGTCATTTGGCTGGGTATCTCTGTGAAAAATGTTGGAACTCTGGCTGTTTTGCAGTAATTTGGCAGCATCTAGGCATGAAAAAAAGCTAAAATTGCTCACTTGGCAAGATTTTTGTCTGAAAGGAAAAAAATGATACGTACTCATTTGACTGGATCCCCATATGACATGAAAGAGGCAAAACCACTAATTTCAGCTTGTTTGACTGCATCTCTGAGTAAAAGTAGCTCAATTGCTAAATTGACTTGATCTCTGGGTGAATAAGGCTAACTTGCCAATTTGTGTTAAAGAGGCCAACTTGCTTTGGACTCGTCGGACTTGGAGGCATCCCGCGACGGGCAGAAGGCCAGCGAAAGGTCCGTGAAGGGTTCCTCCTTCTCGGAGACGCAGTCGCAGTGCGTGCATCGGATGCCCGTCACGAGCTTTCCACCGAAAGTCCTCTCTATGAGGGTCCGTCTGTCGTTGTCGTCCACTTTTGGAGAGGAAGCTTCGCGTTCTTCGAGGGATGTCGCAGTGCTCGCATCTTTGCTGTTTGAGTCGACGGCGTCGGTGGGAACGCTTGGCTTGGCTGATTCCAATACCTGAATAATTTTCTCCTCTTCGTGTAACCTTGGGATTTAAAAAAAAAAACAAACAATGTAATGTAATACAAGCCTGGGAGAAGCCTGTGATAAATACATACAGGAACAATTCTGTTTTGTCACAAAAAAATTAGGAACAGTTGAAGTGCACTCAAACTACAAGCTCAAGCTAATGCTTAACCTGAACTTAAGTGATCTTAATTCGGCTCCCTTTTTCTCTCAATGGCGCTTGACGGCCTTTGCGTTTCATCAATTAGCGATTATTTATCTATCGTACCTGTCGAGGAGAAAGCGGAGGTATTCCGAGCAGTCCTGCTGAGACCCCGCATTGAACCACGGTGGGCGGGACACCTCCAAGAAGTTCTTCGGAGCGTAGGCCGCCCTCTGCGGGGGAACCAAAGACATTTCACCACACTTTCAGGCTGCCACTGACATTCCAGTCTTCCGCATGCAAACGGCAAACCTGAGTGTGCGCAAGGAATGCGAAGAGCATCTGCAGTTTCTTCATCAGGGTGCTGGAACCGTTCAGGCGCAGCGACAACACGTGTCGTCTGAAACTAAAGAAAGACAAGTTCAGTTTTGCTTGAAAGGAATATTTAAAAGAAACATATGGCATTTTTTTTTTGGTATTTTTTTTTGATTCTGGGTTCCTACAGCTTAAGACAAGTATTTTTTAAGACTTTTGAAAGAGTGATTTCAGGCATTTTAATGCTAATTAAGGCCTTTCCTTTTAGATTAATGATTTCAATACCCTTTAAAAGACTTTTTTAAGGATCTGTAGGAACCCTTGTTTGTATTCAAATTGGTTCCTGGGTTGCCTGCCCACTCACCAAATAGTAAGTCAACATTTCTGAAAGTAGGGGACAAAAGAGTCTGACTCGCTATTCTTCAATAACACCACAAAAGGTGGTTAGTCTCTCTTTTTTTTTCTTCGGTTGATAATTACAGTAAACGAATTGGCTTGGTTGAAGTCTGCCAACACTGAGTAGCCCTGTAGTTGTCCTGGTCACGAAAGCTGTCGTCTGCATTTAAATTAGACAGAACCACTTCACCACAAAACCAAAATGTAAACATCAGTGTGACAAAGTGGCTGTACGGTTTACTATAATAGCTTAAGGTTATTTACTCTGTGGCCATAAAGAGCGTCTGCAGGATGCTGTTCATGTAACAGGTGTTTCCCAGGTTGACCAGGCCCGTCTTGCCCGTCTCAGACTTCCCGGCTTGCCTCAGCGGACCGGAGGCGAAAGAGTTTGACTGGGACGTCCAGGCACTTTGATTAAGCACCAGCTTGATCTTCTCCTCGCTCGGTTTCGGCAGATCCTGGAGGGATGAGATGTAAATTGAACCCACAAAGTCATGTCACATTCAATCATATACCTGGGTCGATTCGCCCCGTGGGTAGTGTTGATATTGTGCGGGTGAATGTATTTTTTAATTACATATTAAATCTTTCTAAAAAGTCGATTTAACCTTAGCATAACAGGAAGATGAATTGCACAATAAACTTTTTTTAATGACACCATAGAAAGGCACAAAGCACCAAAAATGTTTTTTTTTAATTTGGAATCAATTATTGTGATTCTCATTTAGCTGAACTCATTCCAGGGCTCGTTTACCTTTATGGCTTCCAAAATGTGGTCATAGAGATCTGGGAATCCAGAATACTGATACATCATGCAGTGTATGAGCTCAGTGAATTGCAGCAGGAAGGCTTTACTGGTGGGGAGGCCGTCGGCCTGCAAGGACTGAACCAGATGCACCGTGTGCGGGATAACCTGCAACAGAGGAGGAGCACGGGGTTATTGCACACAGCAGGAATGCCAATAGTCCTTTTTTTTTTTCGGGGCGACATTACTGACCAGATGGAAGGCCTCGGGAGAGTGCTGGAAACTGAGGAGCATGTGGGAGAGGACGGCAAGCGCCCCCTGTCGCACAATAGGATACCACAAACGATTGAACACCTGCGGGTGGGGGAAACAAATAAACAAATGTGAAATAAATGAGTGAACAGCAAACATGGCTAAAGGGAGCGTTGTGTAGAAATCTTACGTGATGTTTCATGGGAACATGCATAACCTTTGTTTTGATTTGAGTAGCTTTTATATTCTGAATAATGTCAATGAGGGTGGCACGACTGACATGTCTTACCAGCCCCAATGGCATGGTCTTCATTAAATGACATTAAAACATAACATGAGCACATTTCAGGACCAACCAGTTCAATTTTCAGCAGAGTGACATCAATGAGGATGGTGAACTTCTGAACAGCCGCCAGTCCTTTAAGCAGAGCAATGACCCAGGTGTCCACGTGCTGCGCCAGAGGCCAAGAGAGCCAGTCGATCATCCTAAGGACACAGGTCGAGTGGGTGTGGCCTCCATCCAAAAGCAGCATGTTGTGTTTGTGATACTTCCACAGACCTGCAGAGCGCCTTGGTCATGTTTGCATCTTTTACATTTTGGTCCGTGGTGAGACTCTTAATAAGCACTGTGATCATCTGGACCGGGATGTACTGCACCAGACTGGCCAGGGCGATGGACGGCTCAAAGGACGGGTCTGCAGAAGGACAATATATTGTAATAGTGGACAATAAATTGGAATGTTCCAAAAATAAAGTCATGATGTGATGAGTAAAAAGACAACTGCACAAGGACAAGTTATATGGTCACAAGAAAAAGGACATCATGTTTGTTTATTGTGTTATGAGGAAAAATAAAAAGTTATGGAAATGTCTGAATGTTACGAGAATTTTTTTGTAACGTTGCAAATGCAAATCATTGCATTAACAAATTGCAAAAAAAAAAAAAAAATGTGATGATCTTAAAATTTAATGCTACAAGCGGAAAAGAACGAAACATTACAGGAAATGTAATGTCGGCAGGAAAAGTTATGACGTTACAAGTAAAATCAAAATCTATTACAAATTTTCAAGCAATTTGTTTCCAAACACACTTTATCCCAATGGAGTAAATTTGTTTAGAAATTGCTAAATTAAAAATTGCTCAATCACATTTTGTCTTTGAATTGTCGATGATGAAACAAATGTGAACAAAACAAGGTCTCACCCGTAGAAGAGATGATGGCAAAGACTTCCTGCAGGGAAGGCAGCAGCGTGGCCGGCTCGGCCTTCCAGATGTTCTGCAGCAACGTGCTGACCTTGGTGACCTGAGTCACGTACTCGCCCAGCTCTTGCTCCTGGCTGGCCAAGCAGTGGAAGTAGCCGATGGTCCTCACCAACTGCTGGCAGAACAGGACGCCGCCCTTGTCCCTGGGCACGCACTGCACAAAGTCGGACAGCAGGGCGGCGAGACGGGCGCATGCGGCCGGCCCGGGCCGCTCGCACACCATCCTGAGCACCTCCACCTGGACCACGGTAAACAGGTCCAGCACGGCGGGGCAGCTGATCAGCAGCCGTAGGCCGCAGTGGATGTAGTCCACCACGGCTGGGTCTTGGTGATCTAGCTGCTCGTAGCCCTGCTGCAGCAGGCCCAGTACAAAGTCCTTGCTGAAGAAGGCCTCAAACTGCGAGCGGTGGTAGCGGGCGTATGCCTCCAGGACCTGGAAGCCCACCTGTGGAGGGAGAAAGATGACACACTCTGTACTGAAATACTTGTCAGGAGGGATAAGGACTGAGCTGTGCTGCAAATTCTGAAAAACTGTGAGAAACTGACACCCGCCCAAAAAGGTTTGTAATTGCCTATCGATGCCACAAGATGGCGACAGGGCACTTTTTTTCTATTAGACAAGGATAGGGCTAAATTGACTAAATGAAGCCTATTTTGACATGGTCAAAGTAGCATGTAGAGGTATGTTTTCAAATGTAGTGAGTGCAAGCAAAAAGTCATCAGGAAAATACATATTTGAGGAAATTACAGATACCTTAAAAATCTATTTTACATACCAAAAAACAAAAAATCTAGTTAAGTACTAGAACTAGCTTCCCGCCATTGCCCACCTGCTTCTGGAAGGCATCCTCGCCAAGCAAGACGAGACGAGTGGTGACGGCAAACAAGGCCTGGCACTCCTCTGCCGCCACCTCCTTTTCGGCCGCCTCCACCACCTTTTTCACAATGGCCTTCTTCACCGGAAGCGTGTGAGCAGAGCTGATCAGGCCCTCCAAAATTTTGTCCATGATGGCGGCCTGTGGGAGACAAGTGAGCGGGACGTCTCACTGGTCATTTGGCATCGGACAACTGCTGCTTAACAACAATAACTTAGCTCTCTCTGAATACAGAACAGAAACAAACTTTGAATGAGTAACCATTGAAACGAACGTGAAAAGTTGCAATATTATTACAATAAAATGCCATTTTTATAGCGGTAACAAAACAAACGTTGCAGCTTTGCAAGTCAAGTGTCAAAATGTTAGAGGGCTTAAGTCATAATGTAACGATCCAACCGTAGTAATGTTTTTTTAATAAACATTTAGGCCGACTACGTTTTTGAATGTTGTTTATTATATAGTGATACATTTTTCGAGGTGGTACTTGGTGTAAAAAAAGGTTCTGAGAACCACTGCACGGCTTTGTATTGTACTGTGTTGTATTACAGCTTTTTTTTACCCCTTTTATTAGTTCTCGTGCGATGTTAATGGCGTTGACGCTTCAATTTGGCATGACAACCGAAAACAACATTACTTAAAAGCGTCACACCGCCACAAACACAATACTGTATATAGTTCATGAAAGCGCATTTATCCCACTTGTTTTCCACCTTTTTCATCACTACGGTAGCTCATACGTCATGAGCGCCTTGTCGGTAGTCGTAATACTCATAATAGCAAAGCCACCGCTTAAAAAACAAGTCGAAATACATCCGACAATGAACCGTCACCGCAGACACATTTGACTGCTCCGCTAGTAAGTGTTTTAAATATAAATGAAGTTACATGTTTTGCTCACGAGCGCCGAGTCGAATAAAGCAACTTGAAGGGCCTGACGTTAGCTGTGTGACGTTTCTAGGTAGCCAGAGACTTAGCATAAATGCTAATACGCGCTGAATGGGAAGATAGGGGAGCACGTGATCTGAATAAATACGTCCATACCCAAATGGAGCATGTCAATAGTATCTGGCTTGAAGACGATACACTCCCTTTTGGTGTTAAATCCCGTATCGCAGGTAAATTGTGTTGAATTGTTGGTCAAATCGTTCAACCGGAATCAGCTGATCAACAACCACTACGTCATTTCTCGAACGCCTGAATAGCAGGAAGGACCCCCTAACTGAGCGTCGATTTTGGTGGTCTTGGCATTGCCTGTATTTTAAAATAATATCCATTCATTATATAATATAGCCTCATGAGGGCCGCGGGCGTGCTGGAGCCTATCCCAGCTGCTTTCGGGCATCAGGCACAGTACACCTTGAACTGGTTGCCAGCCAATCGCAGGGCACTCATAGAAAGACAACCATTCGTGCTCACAATCACACATTGGGACAATTTAGATCACTCAAGCAACCTCACCGGCATATTTTTGGAATGTTGTGGGAAACCAGAGTACCCAGAGAAACCCTATACAGGCACAGGGAAAAAAATGCAAACCCCACACAGGACGACCGGGCCCGGAATTGAACCCCAGACCTCTGCACTGACGCGGACACGCGAACCAGTCTACACTGCGGCACCGAAAGATTATACTCGAATTACCAACAAAAAGTCTGGTACAGTTTTGCATTTTTACATTTGAATCAAATTTTAACGTTGACATATTAGTTTCAGTTTTCCGGACGCATTCAAGTTAATCTTCGGTTAAGGAATACGATTAAGATGTTACAATTTGGAAATAACTAAACCTACAAGTATTGAATCAATATAACATTTCTGGACCGAAAATCTATAGAGGGCTCCGTCCTTTTAGCAATTACCCACAATGCACTACCGGCGGCCATATTGGAGGGCTGTTATAAACAATCCATACACGTTCGTGTATGTGCCCCATTTTAAATATATGTTGATTCAAACTCTAGTAAAAAATAATTTAATCCTTCATCATCATTATTTAACGTGAAATGAGTCTTGTGTTGAATATCGTGCATTTTAACTTGAATGGCAACGGCAAAAAAAAGCTGCCTTAAATGTTGATATATTTTACTAAATATTCAAAGAAAAATTAGAAAATATATGCATTGTGGTTTCGCATGCTTGGTTTCGCATTGTTTTAAGTCGAACAAAAAAATTTAAAAAGCCAACAACTTTTAGTTTCAGTTTCCGTGATGCATTCATGGGCGTGGGAAGGTCATAGCACGTTCCATGAGCGACTTAAACTTTAACAAATTACTTTTAACATTTTAATAATGAGGCTCAAACGTCACTTCAACCCGAGTGTTAAGATAGCATTACGTTTTCTTTTCTTGACACTGTTTACCATTTTTTTTTTCCATTTTAAGATACTGTATCACATTTTGTTAGTGGTACTGACTGTTTATGCGACATTGAACTTCTCACTTATAAGATGATTTTTATTTATATATTCATTTCATCCACGACAGTAGACTTTTTGTGTCAAAATTGTACTTAAAAAAACCCATAGTGCCAATGTTTCCGATTGTCTACGGGACGTTACAGCCAACTCTCGCGATTGCACGGCAAACTCACGCTTTTGAGAACGCGGGTTTTCGGGAGGAGCAACACGATCCCGCTAGCACCGACCGGTGTGTCTCTTTCATTCCATAGAGTCGAACTGTACCGGACAACGGCGAAAAAGTTGTCCCCCAAAATCCACAGATCCATTTTACACGGGATACACTAACAGAGGCTATTACCACTAGCCGAAGAGGGAATAGCCGTAAAACATGTCGGAAATATTAAGCTGCGTGGAACCGGAGCGGGAAGAGCAGACCGAAATTGAAGAAGCCGGGGGAGCTGAGGTAAGATTGTTGGAATTGGGACATTGTCTCCCCTTTCAGTGTGGTGTTGTCATCCATTGTATCGATATACATGATTGGGATCATTCCTCATTGACTTGAACGCTTCCCACGTCCGACTTGGACTTCATTAACCGTTAGCGCCAGTTAGCTCGTGGCTAACCCACGGTAACTCAACTTGCTAGCGCCTCGCCGCCGAAGCCATTGTTGTTCCCTAAATGTAGGACGTTGCGACAGGCACGGCCAAATAGATCGGCGTAGTGTTTTGCATTTTTCTCATTCTAGAAGAGAATTCATATTCATATTAGCACATTCTGGCTAGTTAACAGTTAACCGAAGCTCGCCTTTGTTTCTCTTCAAAGATGTGATACCAGTGCTGCAGTGCCTCGGACGTTTTAATTTACTTTTAAATTAACATAACCACACAAGGGGGTGTTTTTAAATGGTTCCAGTGTGCTTTGTTAGAGAATTTGAAGTACATAATTTGTCATGAACAAATTTTTGTCATCCAAATGTATTTTTCATTTATCGCAGTGGTTATTTTGCCGGTAACATTGCCATCTAGCGTTTTTTTTTTTTTGGCCGTGAAACGCGCAAGAACAGCAAGTACAAATTCTTTACACAGTCTGCTAGCTCGTGTCGTTGTGGGGAGAGCGCTCACCCCGAATGTACTGCTTTAAACCTTTGCGTCATGGGTTCGAATCCCAGCCTGAGATATGTGGATGATTCATGATGATATTTTTTCAATATTTTTTTTCAATGCATGTTTTATTTTCATACACTTAGTAGATATTCCTAGGACCAATGTCTTACCTACCATTTAAACAAATGCTTACATCCAGTATTTCTAAATGTCATAGAATGTTTTTAGGAAGTTGCACTTTACACGAAATAATGAACAAACTGATTAAAACAACCTTGTTACTCGGGCATACAAGGTGCATTGGTCTCTCTGGCATAGCAATTCATAAACACATTTGTGTGCTATTTTGTTTTGTTTTTACATAGGAAAAGTCTGACTCGGATGCCGGCAAAGAGTCGTCCTCCGATGCAGGACCTGATGGACAAGATGCGTCCTCTTCCTCTTCCACCAAAACCAAAGAATCTGCTCCAGGTTATGAAGAGAAAGTGGTGAGGACATTTGGTTTCAATTCAACGATAAAACCTGTCTGACGTTACTTGGAATAACCCGGTCTTCTTTGTGCCCATGTAGAAAACGGACCGTACCAACAGATTCGACTACCTGTTGAAGCAAACCGAGCTGTTTGCTCACTTCATACAGCCCGCTGCACAGAAGACTCCCACGTCCCCCCTAAAGATGAAGCCCGGGCGTCCTCGCATCAAGAAAGACGAGAAGCAGAATTTGTTGTCTGCTGGAGAGTGAGTATCCAATAATATGATCTGGTTTGATCACATTTTGACATTGAATTGAATTTGACAACATTTTTTTCCCCTGCAGAAAGTAGTGGAAGTTGGTCAAACTGTGGTAATCATAAATCCCATATTAACTGTGCTGCACTGTGTTTTGAAACGAGATTTAACAATGTTTATGATTTTATAAGTAGGCCTACATGCAGAAGAAATAGTGAAGCATGTAGATTCAGTGGGCAAAATGCGCAAGTCTTTTGGTTTTTGCGCTCTGCAATCACTCCGCCATCCGCTCTCCGGTTGCATGTGCCATTAGCCATCACCAGGCACCGTTCCCGAATTGTAGCTTTAGCCATATTGTACTAAGCAGCCAGTACAGGGATGCTTGTATTCGTTGCCTTGTTACCCTGAGGACGCAATAAATTGTAGTTCTGCTTCCTCATGCGTTTTCTCTCAGCAATCGTCATCGCCGCACCGAGCAAGAGGAAGACGAGGAGCTGTTGAGTGAGAGCACCAAGACCACAAACGTCTGCACCCGCTTCGATGACTCGCCATCGTGTAAGTGCTCACCTCTTGATCGATGGAAAGGAAGAAAGTTGTGTAAGTATTTCTATGCAGGGTTTGCTTTCCCATGCAGACGTCAAAACAGGAAAGATGAGAGACTATCAGGTCCGTGGTCTGAACTGGCTTATCTCTCTGTATGAAAACGGAATCAATGGCATCCTCGCCGATGAAATGGTAAGTGCTTTCTCACAAATGTATCATTTCATCGTGAGGCGGGACTTAATCGAAACGGATTGCTATGCCATCAGGGTTTGGGAAAGACCCTCCAGACGATTTCCTTGCTGGGGTACATGAAGCACTACAGGAACATCCCCGGACCGCACATGGTGCTGGTGCCCAAGTCCACCCTGTACAACTGGATGAACGAGTTCAAGCGCTGGGTGCCGTCACTGCGAGCGGTCTGCCTCATTGGAGACAGAAATGAGAGGGTCGGTCATGTCACCATTTTACCATTCTTGATTTGAAATGATTCAGGGGGGAAATAACCAAATTTCATGAGAGTAAACTTTTTGTTGTAAAATCTTAAAATCTCTTAAAAATCGGAACTTTTTCCACTTAACATTACATTCTATTCTGAATGTTAGTACAGTCCTTTGTTCTTGTAAAATGACATATTTTGTTTTGTGTCATTATTCTGGTAATTCTACAACCTCTTCCATCCGTTTTGCAGACGGCTCTCATCCGAGACGTCCTGCTGCCCGGCGAATGGGACGTGTGCGTGACCTCGTACGAGATGCTCATCATCGAAAAGGCAGTGTTCAAGAAATTCAACTGGCGCTACCTGGTCATCGATGAAGCCCACAGGATCAAGAACGAGAAGTCCAAGGTACGCATTCCCCAAATCTACCCACTTTCTGTGATGAAAAGTATCCCCAAATACTAAGGCACTTTTTCTCGCAGTTGTCAGAGATTGTGCGAGAATTCAAGACCACCAATCGCCTGCTGCTGACAGGCACGCCACTCCAGAACAACCTGCACGAGCTGTGGGCCCTGCTCAACTTCCTGCTCCCCGACGTCTTCAATTCATCAGAGGTGTGTGATTTAATCCCAGTTCTTTTAATCATACTTACAACATTACCTAAATTGTCGCATCTGGATCTTTAAGGACTTTGACTCTTGGTTTGACACCAACAATTGCTTAGGCGATCAGAAACTGGTGGAGCGTCTTCATACGGTATGTTGTACACACACACACACACACACACATTTATCTAAATAGTATTTGCTTATTTTTGAACCATATTCTCAATATTTTTCTTGTATTCTTGCAAGTAGGTGCTCCGCCCTTTCCTGCTCCGTCGCATAAAAGCTGATGTGGAGAAAACGCTGCTGCCCAAGAAGGAGATCAAGATGTATGTGGGACTCAGTAAAATGCAGCGAGAATGGTAAGTACCCTTGAGGTAGATGTTATTGCTTTTT